GGGAAACAAGAACAGGCCTGGGCTAGGAGGGTTGTCAGTGTCAATGAGATGTTTGCAGCCCTTGGCAGGTCATGCAGTGGTGTCGTCTGTGTGAGTGTCCGGACTGGTGTGTCAGCATTGTTTTTTATCATGTGATGCTCAGGTGATAGCGTTTTGGGCTTCCATGTTATCCAATTAGTCACCCGTGCCGGCTTCAGACTGCACCTTCCCATGTATGCTGGCATGCTGCTGGGCATGGAAGTCGATAGAGAGGTGTCAGAGAGAGGTTTCACTTGGAATTCCTTTCAAGGCACATACTAAGTGCTGCTGGCAGGTTCACAGGTGACAGCCTTGGAGCATTTGTCTTACTTGATGCCATAATCAATCAATGAAATTTAGATTAGCTTTAGTTTCATTCTGGACTCTTTCATAGCTGGAACCTTGACGGACTGCATGCTACAATCCAGGTACGGCATGCAGTGGGCCGGTGACACTCAAGAAATCCTGCATACACTTCCTTAATCTTAGATGCCATAGTTCTTCCATTTTGTTGTAAGTACAGATTTACAACGATTACTACTGCGCTTGACATTGACTCCCTTCCCCTCCCTTCTGCCCTTCTGTGCCTTCTCCTCTGCTGTTCCCTGCTCTCCCTTGCCCTTCCCTCCGTCCTTTGTGTTTGTATGTGTGTGCCCTCTGCCCGTGTGCTCATGTGTTCACGGACATATGTGTGTATGTATCATGGGTCATAGAGGGACAACTGGGAATTGAACCCAGACCCACAAGAAGGTGGGTGGCACCTCTGCCCTGTTCCGACTCCCGCCCCACCCCGCGCCAGCACTGCCCTGCCCAGCGCAGCACCGCCCTCCCCTGCACCGCGCCGCGCCGTGCAGCACCGCCCTCCCCTGCACCGCCCCGTGCAGCGCCGCCCTCCCCTGCACCGCCCCGTGCAGCGCCGCCCTCCCCTGCGCCGCCCCGCACAGCACCGCCCTCCCCTGCACCGCCCCGCGCAGCGCCACCCTCCCCTGCGCCGCCCCGTGC